ATGTTTTTCACATGTTTCTTTTTGTTTGTTTGTTTGTTTGTTTGGGTTTTTTTTGGTTTTTCTCCGGTACCGGGAACCAAACTCATGACCTTCTGCTTGCCAAGCAGGCGCTTTTGCCGCTGAGCTAAATCCCAGCCACCTTCACGTGTTTCTTGCTGGCCCATGTTGGAAGGCTGAAGAAATGTTCTAAGAATCATGTAGATTAACAAAGACTAATGGAAAAATATGAAGACATCTTTAAGCAACACTTATCTCCTGCTATTGGAGAACAAAGTGACTTACTTCTCTAATGCTGTTAAATCTCAAATTTCTGAACCCTCTATCAATTTACATTATAAAACTAACAAAAATCAGGCAAAAACAGCTCTTAGCAAAATCCCGGTCACTTTCATTCCTTCTTGCAGAGTGGCCCATTATGATTTGAGTTCTTATTGCTCATAAATCTTTTAAAAGCAACAAGGATCACCAACAGCTGGGTTTTACTCCACATTTTCCTCTGGTACTGGCCTTATGTACAGGCCGTTGGCCTTCAAGTTCTCACTGGCAATAGCATAATGAGAACCACCTGCTTTCTCCGCTGTGATCCTATTTCACTTAGTATCCTCCAGTTTTCTACTAAGTTAATACTTCATAGTTTGAGACTTTAGTGGCAGCCCACACTTCTACATACTGAAGTATGCAGAGCTATTGCTTGCATGGTCACCTAAATTATTGTGACCTAGAAACTCAAAATTCAGTCTCTCAGACATATTTTAAAATACTTATTTTTCTTAAAAATCCCAGCAGGAAACAGCAGTGTAGAGTAAATCTACTCCTGTTACTATTCAGAGGCAGAGATCTTCCTCCGTTTCAGTCCACAGTTCCTAAGGCACTGGCTTTGCTTGCAGGCTAAATGCTAAATCATCACTAAGAAGGTGAAGGAACACAAGTCCGAGATGAGGCGCTTATTGCTACATCAGAAATGATCTTGGTTGCCACAGTTTCCTTTGCACACATCCCAAGTTTCTTAATTTTAGTTACGGGGTACATCGAGCTAAAGGGGTGACTGAGAGATACATTTGTTACCTTCAAGCTATTTACCTAAGTAAGATTTTCCCATGAAAAAACCTGAGAAATGGTATTGAAGCAAAGTTATGAAGTCTGTAGAGTCCATTATGATTATTACCCATCATTTTCCCATTATTTTACATTACCCATTATTTTACAAATGTCCTCTGTGTTCCATTTTCCTTTTTTAGAGTTCTGAAAGTTAGAATTCCTTTTTTTGATGTGTATGAATCATTTATGATGGACAATAACTGCAGCTTCTTTGTCATTGTCTCTCTCCTTGCTGTTCTTTTTCTCTCCCTTATTTTCACCAATTAAAACAGAAATTATAATACAGTGATAAATATAATAATACTGCAAGATTGTGTTTGGTGTTACTGGTCTTAATCCAGCACACTCTGGGACATGTAGTCAGAGGATTACTCAGAGAAATTGCTTATAACAAAGGCAGGAAGAAGTTGGTACCAATGCCAGTGTCTTTTTCTTACCAACAGGAATGCTGCTTATTATTGTTTTCATGACTGTTTTCCCTTGGTACTCCATGGATTTAATGTAATATAGCAATTCTTAGGAATTTGCTACATCTATATGAAGGTTCTGAATTGGGTGGAATTATTTCTATTAAGACAAGTGTGTGAAGGAAAACATAAATATCCAGCCACCACCCAGTGGCATAACCTTGCACAAGTTTAAGGAGGATGAGGAGAAGATATATCACGATATGCTTTTACTAGATGGTTGTGTGTAAATATTCTGAGCAAGAGGGCAGAGTTGGGTATTCTTTTTTCTCAGCCTCTTTTTACAAAAATTGAAGTTAGTGCACTATAAATTGCATCCCAGGAAGATAATCAGGTTTCTCTCTGCCTCTCTTTTCATCTCTAATACAGAGATTTATATTTCCTTATTTGCTTCTTGTTCCCTTACTGTTATTGAAGTTTTTAATACTTAATATACTGAGACCTCTAAGACTTCCTTGAAGGATACGACAGCTAAATTCAGAGAACATAATTTTAGGCTCCTCTCTGTTTCCATCCACCCTGAGTCTTTGGCCTCCACCCCCGTCCTCGACCTTATACTGTTGGTATTGGATATTAGGTCACTTTGTTGCCATATATTTCACACATAAAAGCGATGGATGCTAGAGATGTAGCTTAGTCATACATTTCTTGCCTTAAGTGCATGAAGCCCTAAAGTTAATCCACATCAGCACAAACATATAAAAGAATTATGTAATCTTGAGATATTTATGAATTAAGATTCAGACAGAAGACAAGTGACTGATATCTACCTTTAAGTCACAGAGCTTTTTGAAGGGAAAACATATTTACAGATTCCAAAGTAAGAGCAAAAACATATAGGAATTGTTTATCCAAATGCTAGGCAGTTTTTCCTTACATGTTTTTCTTTTACTTTTTTTATTTTAAAAATTAAAGAACTGACAAAGCAACAATGAATTAAAATCAAAACAACCCAAAAACAACAAAAACGATACATGACCTCCAAACAAAATGATAAGAATTTACAATGGTTGCTGCATTACATACTGTTATCTTCAACCAAGTTGCTCGGTTTACCAGACATAAGAATGTAAGATTGATCAAACAATCAAAGACAGTAACAAGTTTGAAAAAAAAAAAAAAAAAACATTGTAAATGATGCAGAGCCTCACCACAGAAGATGGCAGGAGTTCAACAATGGTTCTTATACTGCATATTGTTGTTTTCAGATCAGTCATTCTGATTATCAAATTCAAGCATGCTTTTCCTCACGTTTTACATAATGCCTTTTTAAAATGATGACGTGGTTGCATGAGGCTACTCCTTTACATAGTACCAATCCTCTTGCGAACAGTTGGTTCTTTTGTTTAATAAACAGTGTGTGAGCAGCTATCATGTGCCAAACCTTGCTCGAGGAAGTCAGCCTGGGACAACGACAGCACGTGAATGGAGAGAAACTAAGGTCTTATACCGAGGCACTTACATTCTATACGTGGAAAGCAGCCACAAGATTGGCAGGATATAGCTGTGTATTTGTTTATAGAACATGTGCGATGTGACTGATAAATGCTATGAATAAGTAAGGGAAATGTGCCGGAGTAGTTCACACAGGCTGAGCAGTAAACCTCTCAAGGGGCCTTGGAGTGAGAGATCAAAGAATGAGAGAAAGGACAATCAGGCTGCCAAAAGGGGATTTTGCAGGAAGTGGGAACAGAAAATAAAAAGGCCTCACACAATTACATGTTTGCCGTGTTGAGGGAACATGTCTGAGCTCAGCATACCAGAGTTGAGTGAACAAAGGGTAAGCAGGAGAGAGTGTGTCTGGACATACTAGGGAAGCCAGCCATGTAGGCCAATAAGAATTTTTATCTTCTTTTTTCTCAAACGTATGGAAAGGCATGGATAGATTTTCAGTAGAGAACTCAGAAGATCTAATTTACACCTATAAAAATAACTTGGACATCCCTATGGACAATAGAAACAGCAAGCAGGGCACAAGACCAGCTAAAAGGTGAATGTATTCGTTAAGTGAGAGATGCTGACAGCTTTTAGCCACAGCCACTGTTTAGACAAGTTCAGGTCATAAAAATATTTTGCAAGCAGAAGTGAAAGAATTGGATGCTAGAATTGAACCCTGGAGGTGATAGAAAAGAGCAAATCCCATGGATTTTGGTAGCAGAAGCGCTGATTAAGGTGTTGTCACTGATAAAGACGTGACGAATCCAAGAGGAACACGACTGAGTTGGAAAGAGGTTGCGCTTGGATATGTTCTGTTTGCTGTCCAAGTGGAAACGCACACATGGGTGCAGGAGAAGCGGGGGTGGGAGGTTCTGCGCGTGAAGATAGAATGCGGAAGTCCGCAGAGCAGAGAAGGTATTCAGACCACAGCGTCAGGTGAGATTGCCTAGGGAGCGTGAACCGCAAAGGGGACATTTCTAGTAACTGAGTACCAATTCTATCCAGGATCAATTGGCTGGAAAATGGGAAGGTAGCACTAGAAATAAAGGAAGTGGGTTCAGAGGCCCTTGGAGGGATCTCAAAGGAAGTAAAGTGTTTGAAAGGGCAAGGAACGATCAACCACGTTCATGGTATTAAAGTAAAATGATGACTGCTTCTAGACCATTGAATTTGCAGACATCACGAGGCTGACAAGAGAAGCAGTGAGAGCCGCGGCTGGGCTGACTGCCTTCAAACGTGTACAGGGAGGGGCTGTGCTAATTTTGCTGTAAAGGGCACAGAAGGGGACGGTCACTGCAAGGCAGTACATAGGAGGGTGGCCGTTTCAAGGATGGAGCACATGGCAGATATTTGGGAACTAACAGAAACGAAGCCTTAGCGGGGAAACAGTGCAATGCAGAGACAGGACAACTGCGTAAGGGAAGCGGGTGAGGGTTGAGGAATACTTTGAGCAAGACACAGATGAAGAATGCCATTTTGATGGCTATTGAAATGTAGAAGTATTTAGGAAATCTCTGATCGAAAAGAAATCACTTCTCATTGAAAAGTGCACACAGGTGGCTGGGCAGGGATGGAGGGGGCGTGATCACAGTTTGAATGTTTCGAAGTGAAGATGCGTTATTTCTCAAGGTAACAGTATCGAAAGCCATCCGCTTTGATCAGATTGTCAACTTCTACAGCACTTTTTCTCGGCAATAGACCCTGTAACTTTCCTTCTGAGAAATTTTGAAGTATTATACTTGTGTTTTAGAGGGAACTTGATTTATCAAATTGGAAGACAGTGATAAAGTAATACTGAAGTAGCAAGAAAGAAATCATAGCACTTCTAATCAATAACTTGTGTTTTTCTCCCTGAATATCTTCTTAGAAATGTGTTTTATGCCCAGAGATTCCTGGGATATTACCTTAGTACACACTTTGACTTCAAATTCCATCGCAGTCTCTGGGTTGAGTCCTCCTGATTGCAGTAACATTGATCGCTGTCTAAATCTGTTGCAGCGTGCCTGAATACTACGAGTACGGTCATGGAGTCAGTGAGGATGCCTACGACAGCTATGGTAAGACCTTTTCTCTGCTAAAACTGAGAAATCCGAACACCCATCAGTCACTGACAACTCAGAAATTACTTTCCTCCTCCACCCTCCAGTTTTCACAGAAGTCCAGGGTGAACTGATTTATGTAATTCCACAGTAAGATTTGACTTACAGAGCCAGTGCCTTTGAATGGGACAGATCAATTCTGATCAAAATTTCAAAAGCAATTAAGCACAATCATAGATCATTTTTAGCAGCCACTGTGAGTGTTCTGAATAGTGTCTCCATGTTTCATATCCTTGGCTTGAGTAATTAATTTGATGACAACATTCTCCTTTTTGTGTCACAGAGACCATAGAGTAATACACATTTAAAGCATTTTAAGACTTTAAAGGATGGAAATTGTTATTATAACTTTTAAATTATTTTTCTAGCATGCCTTGATCTTAAAAGTGCCAAATAACGCTTGACTTGAGAGTTAATGATCAATAAGCACTTCACTCTATGAAATTAATTAATTTTAAAATGTATTATTCAACTAAACATACCACTTTAATCATAATCCCGTCCAATATAGACGTATTGAATGCCTATGAGATGTTGATGTAGCACATGGCTTTTGAGGATTGGTGTCTGGTTCTTTAAAATGCATACATAATGTTACCAGTTGGCCACCGCTGAAAAATGGTATTCGCAGAAGTGTTTGCCATCTTGGATTTTCATTCACATTGTGCTCAGAATTCTGTTCCTCTTTCATGATGATGAGTGCTGCCTGTGTTTGGGGCTCTACAGGAGGGGGCTGAGGTATTGTAGGAGGGTAGAGAAAGGGAGGTGAGGGGAGCAGAAAAAGAGGAAGACTTTTCCTGGAACTAGAGTCAGCAACCAAGTACCACGAGGCTGAGCCCAGCAGCAAGATGGCAACACACCACCGTCTCCCCCGTTGTCACTCACAAGCTGACTACTTATATATTTTCCCATGTATCTCTCTACAATGAGCTGATATAATAAGTGCTTTATCTCCATTTTTAAGAGGAAACTGAACAACAGAGATGAAGTCGGTGTGAGAGCACAGCTTCAAGGCTCAGCCTCTGTTGTTACGTACTCATCAGGGGGTGGGGACTGTTCACTGCTGCCACCCCACATCGAGTTCGCTATGCCTCAGAGCTATGTGATATAATGAGGATCAGAGGGGATATGAATAATCCCTCACAGAAACCATAGTGGGCTGCGGCTATAACCCAGCGATGGAGCACTTGCTCAGCATTGTGAGGACATGGGTTGACCCCTGCCCCAAATACTGCCAAAATTATTATAGATGTGTGTATATGTCTGTTTGTGCTAATTCCTCTTTAGAATCACAGATACTCACACTGTCATCTGCATTTTGCAGGTGAGGAACTAAGGCTCACAGTAAAACTAACTTCCCTCTGTTAAAAAACTAGCTGGTGACAGAACCAGAAAGTATATCTGAAAGTGTCTGATTGCTTGGATTTGTTTGTTTGTTTGATTTTGCCCAAAAATGGAGCAAAGTTTAGTGGATCTTAGAGCGAAGAAGAGGATCTGCTACTTTAAATCTGAGTTTGTTTAAAAGGAAGGATGTTCAATTTAGTTATATTTCTCTAAATCTTGCCAGCTGCTATTCCACTTTCTAAGGGAAGAGAGGTCTTTTATACACTCTACCCCGAAAAGCAAGTAAAGCACTAATAGAAAGCAAGCACCCAGCTCAGCCCCAAATGAAACCGCTCCAGCACTGAGCAATTAACCTAGTCTGTTGCTGCTGCCAGAGGTAGCAGTGTTCGCTAAAACATAGGAAACATATTTTCAGAAATTGTTTTACAGAGAAATAAATGATGGGCAAGTTGGCACAGGTCTGGCTCACGTGGTGAGCAACCACAGCAAGCGCAGCTGCAGTTCTGTTCTGTATATGTCACTCGTTGAAAGGAGCAAGTCTGAGAGGTGAGATGATGTTTAATAACACTAGCATCCAAAACCTAGGCTTTCTCCAGAGCCGTGCCAGAGCTCAAGGAGACTGAAGTGTGAGATTACCTAGCACCCCAATACATCTACCCTTCCCAATGTAGCAGCATTCTGAGTTCAGTAACTATTTCTTTTGTTCCAGGCACATTCTTAGCTGAATTCAATGCATTCAGGCTCTATGCATTGTTCAGCTAGGATGATAAAGGAAGTAAGACACAACCTGGACTTTTCTTTAATCCACTTGACTTCTGTATGTAACATTGCTGGGCTCCGGGAGTAAGCTGGTATACATGCAGACGTCCTGACCCGGTTCCTGCTGTGTACCATTGCAAAATACATGGCTGCACACTGTAGACTGCACCAGCAAGTAAGCCATGTGAGTGTGGAATTTAGGATCTAGAAAAATCAAGTACTCTAAACTTTTACAGTTTCATACAAGGTTAAAGAGCACTACCCATTTATGTTTGCCTTACATAGGTAAGGCACTGTTCTCAATTCTGGAAAGAATGCAGCAAAAAACTCTTGAAGCTTACATTCAAATGAGAACTAAAAGCAATTTTTAAAAATTGCATCTTCACTTTCAAATTAGAGTCATTATTTTCTACACTTGTATATCAGTTTAGCAAAATCCTGCTCATGAACTCTCCTTTGCCTAATGATAAGCCCTGACATCCATGGCGGAGATCAATTTGATGATATCTAATTAGGTAATTCATAGGAGATGGAATTTCCATTTCTCAGTTATTTCTATTTGGAAATTTTAATAGTGCCTAAGGCAATAAGGAAGAGTGTGTGACTCTAAGGAGAGGCGGGCGACATGTCCAGGAGGCTGGGTTCTCTTCTGTCACTCCACAGGCCTTGCCTTGTTCTTTCATATGCCTATTTCTCCTGATGAACCAACACTTAGGAAGAATAACCCACTTTAATTTAGAAGCCATAGCTTTCCATAAGCACTAGACAGCACATTGATCAAATTACCAGCAAGCAATTCTCTGCACAAAGAAACTAGCCAGTAAAGTCTTTATAAAAAAAATGGGCAAGATATAGACAAGGATTTTACTGTCTGAGTAAAGAAGATATCAGTAAACAGCAATTTACTCACTAGTATTTCAGCTCAATTTGTCATATAAACAATGTTGCAAGACAAGACACAGATGTGTGTAAATATAGATGGTTCTTTAGTACCATAGCTTTGTTTAGCCACTAGAATCTGATGCTGTTTTTCACCTTCATTAAACAGTGCAAGTTCAAGCACACTCCTCATATTCAACATGCTTTTTCTCTTTTTGGGAAAATATTGATATTCTAACCCTGTGAGCATTTTAATCTAAAAAGTGCTTCCTGATTTTCATGTCAGACAATAATTACTCAGGACACAAAGCAATGGCTATTTTGTTGACGTTTGGGGATCATGTTCAGGAGGCTGAGGCGAAGGAGTCTGAACGGTGTGTTACTACCTATGTCGCAGTGCAGACCTCATAGCAAAAGGTGTCAAGTGCGCAGCACCGTGGAGTCAGGGAAGGAGCTCTGCCCCCGCCAGACACCAGGTGCCCGGCCCAGGCCGCCCTGCCAGCCTGCAGCCCTGAGGGCTTCCCCTGTCTGCAGAGTACACACTGCCGGGAACAGAGCTCTGAGCTTCCGACCCAGCGCCTGTGTTTTCAATCGGGTACATCAGAAATTAATTCTTTCATGAATCTCTAGCCAGGCTTGGTGGGATCCCTGTAACTGCAGCACTCTGGGAGGCGAGGTGGGAGGATCACAAGTACAGTTACAGCCTGACAGCCTAGAGACTTAGTGACCTGCCTCAAAATAAGGAACCATAAAAAATATAAATGGCTGGGGATGTAGCTCATTATGAGGGTGCTCATCTCAGTTCTGTACCACAATCAATCAATCAGTAGATTCCTTTTTGCCATAGGAGTTTAGAAATATAAGCAGATATATAAACCTGATGAATCTGAAAATAAGCCATTTTTCTTACTCCAAAAGAAATATACTTACACTGTGGAAAATATAAGTAAACAAAAAAAGAATAAAATTTAAATCACTCTGAATTATACTGCTATATTTATATATTCTTTACATTTGTTATATTTTGGTCAATAGTTTTAATCCATTAATATGAGTATTTTATTTAAAAATGAGCACAATACAGGTTATTTAATATTCCTTTGAATTTTTTCTATCATAGAATTTTTTCTACTTCTCCATCATTAGTATCAGACCTTGACAAAATACAGTGTCAGATATTTTTTCACGTGTTTTTGCAATTAAACACTGATGTGTTCATTTGAAAAGGGATACGGGCAACCCATTCGGGACCCCTTCTGTCTCCCAGGAGCTATCCCTGTTCCCCATTCCCCATTCCTATTCTCCAGTAAATTTTCCTACTTAGAAAAAAGAAAATGGTGCACCCTTCTAGTATAGCCAAAATATGACAAAGTACTTGTGAATTAAGGCATATGGTGATGAGATTTAAACCTGAGCATGTTCGTGTTCTTGTGTCCCATATTGATGGAGCTAGGACCAAGGTGAATGACAAGAAGGAAAGCTCAACATCACCATCTTGACCCCCAGTTAGTACACCTTATGCGCAATCGTGGTGGTCTCAGGTGTTGTGCAGGGGGGGTTTAGGTGTTAGGGAGACAGCAGCAGGTTGCTCATCCTGTGAGCACCAATTGCCCGCACAGTGCAATTTAAATACACATGTGGATGGTGTGAGGACCCACTGGAGTCAGAGACAGACTGATGGTTTTCACGAGTTCTGCATCTCCCCCACAGTAGCTAATATCAATGCACAGCTTCTGTTTAACGAGCTGTGCAGTCTTCTACATCGGTGGTGTTTATTACAAAGAGCATGTCTTATACCTCCACTTCTCTGTTTACCTCCCTTCTCAGTTAGTAATTCCTCCCTCTGACACTCTCGTTGTACTGTGGGTGTACTGGACTCCAATGGAATGTCTATTTCTGCAAAAGGGGTAGTCTCAATTTCCAAGTTCCTGGCCTCCTCTCAGACGTGGACAGCTGTCTGAGGACCCTGGAGTCAG